CGAAAGATTGAAGCATCTGTTTCCTAGAATCTTTATATCAACGTTCTGCACCATGTCGTCAATAATGATAGATGATAGCCACTACGCTCCTCATCGTGATCATTAATACGGCCATTATTAAATGCTCTAAACATATTTTCGTATCATTCCAGCATTCATATTGTTTTTCGATGCATTTTACTAATCTGACGAAGAATATCAACCGCTGTCACATCTTATGCATTCAGACAACGAATCACATCCCTTATTTCACAATCAGTCGAATTTAGAGTTATCTTAGGCATTTTAAATGTGCACAAAGAAACGTAAACACGAACAAATGCATGCATACCAGCACCTGCGACTAAACAACATATGTAGGTACTCAGGGCGCATGAGCGGACTGGCAATCTCAGCTCTGTAGTGGCCATATTAAGAAAAAGATACTTACTTAAGAAACATGCTTCTTATTATTTAAAGTTTGCTATGTTTTCAACCAACAATGTACTTGTGCTGGAAATAATATTTACAGAATTACTTTAAAAACTACAAAAAATATAATGAGAAAAGGCATCTAAATTTTTTATGATACAAAGTGCACAATGGAAAATGTTAAAATTATAGAGATTTATTTAGGCTGACTAACAGTGAACTTTTAGTTAAATCACCTTTCCTTTCAGTCTCATTTTCACTCACGTTTTTCTGCCAAAATGCTGATTAGATAAGGCGCGGGTATTCAAATTCTAAGTGCTATTTAAGCCAAGGTTTTGGAAGGTAATTTTAGAGTGCGTAATGCCTGCTTGAAGGCCACATTGTTACTTTGAATTACTAGCGATTTGATTCTGTGGCGTTGGGTGCTTCTTTGGTGTGAGGCTTGTTCCTGTCGGCCTCTAAGCAGCCTTCCTGCGTTGAAATTATCCTGTGAGCTGTTAGGCTAGTTTAATTACATTTTATTTTAAGTTCAACGTTACCTGTTTGAGTTAGGCCAGAAATATTGACTTTGTGTGAGGCCAAGTGGTTACATTAATCCAATACTTCAAGCCAACCAACACTTCAAGCCAATTACATAAAGCCAACAGGCCAAAGCTTCAAGCTTCAAGGGTGTAAAAGATCCAAATATATAGGATTGAATAAAGGGTATTTTATACCCTTTTACTGACTTTTCTGTTATATTAAGACCTGAGGATAATTCTGCACATAGTCTTTTTAGAGCTTATTAGTTCATGCTCCAGTAATATCAAAGTAAGTAAAAGTAAGTACCAAAGTAAGTAGTAGTTAAAATGTGTATGCAAGATTAAAAAATCAAAATATAACGTTGCCAAATAAAATCTATTATCTGTAGAACAGCAGGATATTCTAAAGATAGATAAAACCAGATGAAGTTATCATTACTATACTGGAGCTGCGCCTAACAGAAAGCCAAAATTGTAAAGAGCGATACAGTATCAAGTACATTTAATTCCTATTCTTTTTACTATCAGTTGTACAATAAATAACGTAATCTATATCGGCTATAGTAGTACTTCAAAATAACAGTACCGGCCTAAACTTAAAATGATGGCTGATTCCTTGGGTAAAATGTCCTTTTCAAAAATCACGTATCATATCTTAATCTAACGTATAGAAAGTATATTAAAGTCATTTAGCCTTAAAAGACAACATACTAATTTAATTCTACATTAAAATTAATATACTTAGACTATTTAATTATCTTTCCTGTAAAATGCCTTCAACGTACCAAGCTGATAGAAGAGCCGTTTGATACGAATTCCCTTTCTCTTTCGTTTATGGAGCAAGACATCTTAATATTCGGAGCAGTTCAGAATGTTTTCTGCATTGATTAAATATGATGATTGATTTAATTTGATGATTTTAGAGATAATACATGATTCTGTCTAGTATATTATTTTCAATCTCAATGACTTCGGTGGAATAAAGACTGTCTTAGTTTGTGGGCGGCCCCCACTTTTCTTCTCTGAATCCCGCTGAGCAACAAATCTCAACACTGGAGCGACTGTTCCTTTCAGTCATTGATTAGACTGTAGCGGCGCCACCGGGTTTGTCCATATAAACTGACATAAACTGAAGACATCACCTCTCCCCACTCGCAGCGTAATTAATTATGTTGGACTGTCGCACGTAAGGATTCCGAAGTCAATGATTTTGTTCTAGGCTCTTTAATGGTGCAGTGTTAGTTCGCCAGAACGTACAACTTAATTTCGTCGTGCAGAAAGGATGGATGTTTAAACCACTGACAGAAAAATAAAAAGTTTTAGTTTTCTTTGCCGTTAGCCGCCTAGAACAACGATTCCTAACTGATAGTAAATGTATCTTTGACGGTACTCAAAAGAACATGCAGAGCTTACGAAAAAAAAATAATGGGGGAAACATAAACTGACAGTATGAAGTAAATAAGCCAAAAGCTATGAAACTTATTTTCCTATTATTTAGCGCAATTGAAACAGCTTGAAGGAAATGTCCTCGCCGTATTGATTATTCCCACTTCGGTGCCTGGTAAAACAGGAAATACTGCCGCTTGAAAGAAACATTGGCCAGTCCCGTGCGCAAGTGATGGAATGAAATTAATGCACAACTACGTCTTGAACAGTTGTGCATTAATTTTCACCTGAAGACAGTTTTTCTAATAAGCACACAAATCTCCACGAGGCGTCAGTTTGTAGGAAAATCACAGCACAGCAATTGTATTCTACCATTTCGCTTCACCATTTTAAACAGCTGATTCCAAATATCAGAACTTAAGGCCCTATAACTTTAATTATTGGGAAATTAATTATTAAAACTGTAGTCCTGTAGTAACTTGCTTAACATTATTCCGGGTCTTAAACAAATATTGAGTTCAGACTGGAATTTGTATTTATCTTATAAGTTTCATTTTTTTAATTTTCTTAAATATTTTTTTAACTTTCTGAAACTTCAACATTAATTTCTTAAAACTGTTAAGCAGTAATGAGTTTTCCAGACTTTTAAACTTTCCTTTTAGTTGTTTAACATTTAAATTACTAACCATGTTATAATGAATACCTCCCTTTGGGAAAAAATAGCTGTGTAAATATTCGGTAATTCTAAAGTCAATCTAAATAAAAATACCTAGCTTTATTATTTTATAGATTGTAGAACTTGGTAATCAACGGCTCTTTAAAAATACCTTACGCAAAATTATCAAATGACTTTTTTGAAACTAAATCCGAGAAATCGGATTTTTTTCGAATCGCTTTGGTTTGTGTTCCAGATCCCTTCAGTGTATCTGAATTTTTAATTTTCCTCGCATTTTCCATGGTATTCAAATATATGAAAATCACAGGCAAATGCTTTGAAGTTAGAAATGTTTTATGATTAGTTATCTCTATTTCGCATATAAAGTTTTACGTTACCTAGTCTGTTTGGTCGTTAGTATGCCACTCAGTTCTCAGAAATGCTACCATTCCATGCCATATAAGATCTTTATTTTACCCAGCAGATTAAAACTCTGCATGCATTCATTGACAATCTGGAATGTTTAAAAACAATATTCCTTTTACTTCTCAATAAGCTTCTTCTTTATTTAAAATTTTAATATGCCAAATTGATGTTCTTCTCAGGTATTTGCACACTTTGTTTAATTGACAAAATATATTTCTAATGTCATGTATTATAAATTCTGATGGAAATATTCGTTTGCACGCCATCTAACAATGAAATTATTATCATTATTACACCATTTTAATATTATTTGTTATCATCATTTTACTATTTTTGTAAGGTTATTTATTAATATTACACTATTTTGTAAATGTTTTGTCATATCACTAGACTATATTTTAAATTTCATTATCATTAGTAAGCTATTTATCTGCTGTTTGTTACCGTTTTTAAATATTTTTAATGTGTGTTATCATTATAACATTAGATGGATACACGGCCCTCACCTATTAACAAGGTATCGCCGGAAAACCTCATTAAGAGCATCGCCTGCCCGACTAGAGTGCCCACTGCCAGGCACTTTATGGTGAGAGTAAAAGTGTACCACCAACAGTGTACTGCTGAAGCCCCCCCCCCCCACATTGAGAAGCCAACCGCAGCTCAGTGGCGGTCCCGTTAGAGGAGTGTTACCATTATAACATAAAAGTGGAGAATCTGGTCCTCACCTCTTAAGCAGAGGTATCACCAGAGCCATAGGCTAAGAATTTTGCGAGTTTAAAGCATAATGTTCAATGAGATAAGTAATCTAATTTAAGAAATTTGTTAAACACCTAGAATGAATTTTGATGTCTTCTGACTAGAAGAAGTGTGGGCCTCACCAACATCTTTATTCTTTACATTGTACAAAGTATCATGAAATTACATTGTACAAAGTATCATGAAACAGTTTACATTTGTACATGTAACAGTTTACATTGTACAAAGTATCATGAAATTAACAGACATGTAAATGATATAGTCAATACAAAACTTAAGTAACACTTTGTTACAATGGAAGAAAAAATTATAGATCATTGATCGATAACATAAAACATATAATAAGGATACAGAGATTATTTCTTGTAGATAATAATGCCAATTAATACATTTTGCTATAATTGAGAAAATAGAAATACAGTCAGTTGATTATATATACAATTGAGTTTCAATATGATAAATATATTCCATAAAATCGGAAAGTAAAGATCGTCCCTTGTCGTTTAATACAAGTCTTTTCAAAACGTCCATAGATAATGTTTGATTGAGGATCTCGAGTCTTTTAGTACAAACACTTGGGCATTCAATAATCATATGTAATGCATCCGCTGCTTCCTGTCCACATTGACATTTGCACTTCGATTCTTTCAGCTTGAATCTGTTAATGTAGTAGCTTGGAAACGCTCCATGATTGCTTATGATCTGATTGAGGAAGAAGTCGCTAAGATGGCATTCCTGCGAGACCTTTGGCAAGAGCATGTATGTGTGTCGACCAGTATCTTCATTTTGCCAATTTGTTTGCCAAATAATATTTGCTTTAGTTTTTGCTGTTCTGACAATGTAGCTCATTGGTATCTTGCAGTTAATTCTGTTTGTCGAATAGACTTCTTGTTTTGCTGTTTTGTTATCCAATACAGTTTTGCTTTTGTATAAGAAAGTAATTTCTTAACTTCAGTAATACTCTTATTATAAATATCAAACTTTCCCACCGACTTGAGAACGGCCTGGCTGTCAGAATAGATGTGCGCGGGGCCATGATGCGTTTTCAGCCATAATAATGCCAATTTTAAAGCTTGTGTTTCCGCTTGATACACTGTGCAGTTTTTGTCTAACTGAAACATAAATTGTTCTTGATATACTCCGTGCCAAAACGACCAGAAACCAACTCCTGTTCCATCTTCATTTTTTGATCCGTCAGTATAAAGCCCCAATCCTTTGTTAGTGGAAGGTTTACTATCCCACTCATAAACTTTTATTAGGGCAGGGTGGGTATGCCACTTGTGAGCTGGAAATTCAATTTGCTCTTTTATTATTTTTATATCTTCGAATTTAAAATCTGTCCATCCTCTTTTTGTACACTGAATGGCACATTCCATGTCGAGTTTTATATCAAGTGGAAGGTTTTCGGCTATTATTTGCAATGCTGCAGTAGGAGTAGTTTTATAACTTTTTGTCATTGCAAGGAGAGCTATACGTTGAATGGAGTTTGTTTTATTTCTCATTTTCCCTGTAGGAGGGTGCCACCATGCTGGGCATGCATATACAACCGTTCGTTCAATAGCTCTTTTGTACAGTTCCTTGAAAACTGGTTTAGGTAAACCAGGCATTCGTAATAAATTATTCATAATTTTGTAAACTTTTGATTTGAGAAAATCCAAATGAGGCAGCCAAGTTAAACATTCATCTATAACTATTCTTAAATATTTAATGGATTTCTGTCTTTTGATCGTCTTTTCATTCATTTTAATGGTTGGGGCTGAGTAAGCCGCCCCCCCCTTTTCTTGACGAGACAAACATTAAACTGGATTTATGCGGCGAAAATTGAAGTTTACATTGTTGTGCCAATTCCGATAACTTTTGCAGAGCTAGTTTTGCTCGTGTTTGAATTTGCATATGGATCAATCCAGTAATTAACAGAAGAACGTCATCTGCATATGATTGGACATGAATGCCCTCGCCATATTCAATCCTTAATGCAATATTCATGACAATATTCCAGAACAATGGCCCGGAATTGGATCCTTACACACAACCTTTCTCTTGTTTCTGAGAGTATTGAATATTGTTGATCTCATAAAGAATATGCTGATTTTCCAAGAGATTTACAACGCTTTATAAATATTATATGGACAACCCAGATTACGCAATTCTTGAAGTAGAAAGGACCACCAGATGTTGTTAAAGGCGCTTTTAATATCTAATGATATGACATTAGTATAGTTATAATTTCTTCGATTATCTTCTATGAGGGAGATAATATCCTTGATAGCATCCGCTGAGCATTTCCCAGCTGTGAAGCCATATTGCTGTCCACTTAGTTTAGCATGGGAATGTAAGAAGAACGATAATCGATTTGTTAACAATTTATCACAAACTTTACTCCATGAGTTAAGTAAAAAGATTGGTCGATAAGCCTCTGGTAGCTCGCCATTCTTTTCTTTTTTTGCAAATAAAACTAATTTTGTTGTCTTCCAACAGTCCGTAAAAGTGTCACGTCGGAAGAGTTCATTAAACAGAGTTGTTTGAAGTATAGGATTTGCATAAAAAACTTCAGCTATTATTTCTTTTGGAAGGTGGTCTATTCCAGGTGCTTTGCCTAGATTTAAAGATTTTATGGTATATGCCACTTCTTGTACAGTGAAGGGAATATCGTTTGGGCGCCATAGCTATTCTTTAAGTTATTTCCAATTTGAGTATGATACTTCGAATCATTATTTCTTGAGTCTTTCGGAAAATGATATTCCATTAAGAGTTTTATTGTTTCTTCAATTGTGCTTGTTTTAGTATTATCTGGTTTTAACAACGCTTTTAATTACAAAGGAATTTGCATGTTTCCTTTTGCCACATCATAGTGTATGTCAAACGGAGAACTTGGATCGTTCCAAGTGTACTTTCCACATATTCGTTTTAGCTTTCATTAATGTCCGTTATAATAAGTGAGTTCCTTTTTATAGAGTTGTTTATAATGAGTTCTGAGCTCTTCATTTTGTGTACATCTTTGAAAACGCTTTCTTTGTGCCGTGATTCTTTTCCGCATAATTGAAAGTTCAGGTGTCCACCAAGGAACTCCCTTGTGTTATGTTGTGATATGCTTTCCTTTGGTCTTCACAGCCAAATCACAAAAGTCTTGAATGCATTTCGTCCAGTTAATGATCAAGTCATTGAGATTAACCGTATCCTTAATTGTTTGTTCGTCAATATTCACAAAATAAGTTCCAAGTTTTTCCTTAAGAGAGAGCCAATCCATTTTAGATAGTTTATATTTTGCACGTGAATTTTGTATAAAGTTTTGAAAGGTGATTTCGAAGTTAATATAACAATGATCACTTAAAGTGACACAGTCCATTACATTCCAATTCTTAATAAAAGCCACAGAGGATAAAGATCTTGAGGCGGTAATATCAATCAAGCTCTTTCCCCGAATGCAGTTATACGTTGGGGGGGCTTCAGTATCATTCTCTACAACAAATCTATGTATATAATATTTGCTTTAGTTTTTGCTGTTCTGACAATGTAGCTCATTGGTATCTTGCAGTTAATTCTGTTTGTCGAATAGACTCCTTGTTTTGCTGTTTCGTCGGCTTTTTCATTTCCGATGGACCATTGGTGTCCACGAATCCAATACAGTTTTGCTTTTGTATAAGATTTCGCATTTGACTATCCTCTGGCATTTGACTCGCAAAGGACGTACGGTTAGTTAGAAACTCTCTAACCGTACGTCCTCTGGGATAGTCAAATGGAGAGCCCCATAATTCGCTCTTTGCATTCAGATCTCCTAATATAATAATGTCATGATCACTATGTAAAAATCGTTCCACTAAATCTAGTAGAGTAATTAAATCTGTTAAATTAGTGTTTGGTTGACTATAACAGTTAAAAATAGAAAGAGTTCTTTGTTCGATCTTTATTTTAGTAATTATTAGAATTGATGTGGAAAAGGTATTTAGCACCATTATATGTGGATTAACCACAATATTTGCCGTTTTTGGAAGTTGGTCTGATGAGTAAATGGCTTTAGTTTGAATCTCAAAACCAGCCGTTTTACCATTTATACCATATATATCTTGAACAAAAGCAATGTCATAATCAAAGATACATGTCTTAAGCTGTGCGGTAGAGACATTCAATCGTGCTACGTTAATTTGCAGCGCTTTTAAACAACTGTTATCATTGTTATTAGCCATAATTTATTCTTTTACGTAGATCTTCTATTTCTAGCTTTTTGCTAGGACAGTCTTTTGAGAAGCTGAAATGCTGATCGTTAAGCTGCTTATCGCTATTTGCGTTTCTCTCCGCACAGTTAATACATCTTTGATAATTATTTTCACAATTTTTGTGGGAGTCTCCTACCTCCCCACAATCGCCACATGCTTCTTCTGTTTGGCATTGTTTAGATATATGTCTATACTGGCAACATTTAAAACATTGTGTGGGACGTATGTATTCTCGTAAGTTAAACCTCTCCCAGTTTATACATACTTTGCGCAGTTTGAGTAGTTGTTTAAAAACCTCCGGAGAGGTTTCACATACCCAATGATTAGCATTTTTATGTTTGATTGGAAATTTGATAACCAATTCGTTTCCGTCGAGACCTTCATTTTGAGCCAACATTGCCTCCTTGAATTCTTTTTTCGTTAAATCCTTGGGAACATCATATACAATTATAAATAATACATCATATACAATTATTAATAAACGCTTCATGGGTCGAACTATTTGTAGTTCGTTTTTAAGTTCCGCCGGAATGTCTATCTCTTTTTCGAGAATTTCCAAATCTTCTTCTTTGTTTGTTTCAATCAAGAGACCTCCTTTAGCCACATTTTTTATTCTTTTAACTCCAATATGAAGTTTTGTTGGATCTATCGTTTTGAGAATCTTTTTCTTGATACTTTCTGATTTATCCCTTTCCTGTGTGGGGTATAAAATTGTAATATGTTGTTTTTCAGGTCATCTCCGTGATTTAGATCGATCTCTAGCAGGACGTTTGACAACATCCGCATAAGAGTCTTTAACGTTTTCATTTTGATTTTGTATTTGTCCTTCCAAGTGTGTCATTTCAACACACACTGTTCAGTTAGTAAGTTAAACATCCGTTGAAACTGATGTTGAATGTCTGCCGCTACTACTCTGTTCAGACCAGAAGCTTTGTTCGTTAAAATTGTCTCTAGATTGGCTATATAAGCCTGACCTTCTTTGTCTATTTTGTCCATAAAATCAAAGCACTGTTTTATTGTCTCTTATTGTCTCTTAAAACCACTAGGTCTGCAGACCGACTTGGTACCCTGGGGTTCACAGCAAGTCAGTAAGTAGTAGGCACTTTGTGCTCAGGCTTTAGATCATTTTCTGTGAAGGAGCCCCCCCCCACCACGCCAAGGTACCCGAGCACTGGGAAAGCGTAAGAAACAAGTAAAATAGAAAATAGCTATGAAATCACAATCGTATTTCGCACGATAATGTCATATTTTAATCATATTTCAATCGCATTTAGAATTCGCTTTCCCCGAAGGGGTGTTACCATTATAACAGCATTCCCGCATTATTATTATTACTATTATTATTGTCATCAGTAATATCTCGAAATATACTTGTGTCTGAATTATTTGCAGCTCTTCAGCAGGCAAAACATTTTATTCATATGATAATAATTGTAGCTAAATCAAAATTCAGAGTCCTCTTTATTTCTAATATCCGAAGTTTTGTATTCGATTTCTGCTCCTATAAATTAACTTTGAAAAGTACAATTGTCTACTTTTGCCTTATATTCAATTATTTAGGTTCTATTACATTACCAATATAATACAAGTAGTTCCCTTTATTTTAGAACAGGAACAAAATATGTTGAAGCAAAAATAAAATATAATATTAATATTTAACTATCAAAATTTTATTTTTTATAAACATCACTAATTGTTTATTGGTTAGCAAACGTTAAGTAGACTATGACAATATTAAAAAAAATTGATGTGGAGACCACATGGCTTCCTTGCACGACCTATTAAATTGCACCCATTTTTTGCTGCATTTCATAATTTATTTCTTCGAATTTCATTGGATATGTGTTTCTCATTCAATTATTTCAGTTTTCATTTCGCGGCAAGACAAAAATTCAAAAACGCAAAATATCTCCATTAAAAATTGCAAAATAAAGCAAAACCTAAAACAACAAACAGAGTTGAAACAGTCTTTTTTTAACAATTAAAATTAGAGTTTGCTCTCAAAAACAAGTAACAAGACCAACGAGCCAGAAGACCAAACATTCGGTGCACACAACTGAGAGTTAACTTCTGGTACCATTGAATGAAAAGACAAAGAAGCTGGTGCACCAGTTGACTTAATGACTTCTTTTCTACTAACAGTTTCAGTTGCAAACCAACGGCGGCCTCAGGCCTACGCTCACTTAAACGTTTAAATTGTTGATAGTTCTACAGTGAAAGCATGCAGATTAACTAAAGGTATAAAATTCTTCATTGAAACATAAGAACAACATAATTCAACCGCTTTTAAATCAAAAACGAACAATTTAACAACATATAAGAGCTTACTGAGCTGAGTAACAATTTAGAAATATATATATATATATATACAGTTGTAGCGAACTTAACATAGT